AGTAAAATACTATTTTTTTGAAAATTTTTAAACTTTTTATATTTTTTAACCCTTAAATATAAGGAATTTTTACTCTAATTTTTATTTTTAACTAGATATGGCATGGATGATAACTAAATAATTATTCAAGAATATTTTTTTATTTATTATGTTTATTTAATAGTAGAGTTGAGAATTATCTTGTTTTATAAAATATTTTTTATACACAAATGATATATAAGACTCAAATTTTTTTTTAAAAAAATTGGATCTTAAAATATAAAAATAAATATTAAAGTATATTTTAAATATTATTTTGAGATATTTTATTAATTAAAAATAATAAAAATATGAAAATATAAATATTTTTAATTTTTTTAAAATAATTATAATAATACACTCAAATATATAATATTTTAGTATAAAATGACATAAAATTTAAAGAATTAATTAATATTTCTTATATTTTATATATTTTTTAAAAAATTATTTTTAACTCGTACATTCGAGCTAGGCTTGAATTTTCTTGAGTCTATTCAGGTAGGCCCAAATAGGCTTGAATATTAAAAAAATAATATTTTTTTGAGTTTGGTCTTAAATTTTTCAAGCAGGTTCGAGCTAGCCGTTGGCTTGACTCAAATTACTGACTTTATTTATTGGCATATACAATGATTATATTAAAAAACCATTTAATATTTGTTTTCTAAAATCCCACCTTCTTTGTACAACATTTTTTATGATAACCATTTAATATACGCCATTATATATTTAATACTTCTTATATTCTATACTATAAGACACTTTTAAAAAATCTCAAAATATATGATATTTTGGATAGATTAAAGTTTCATTAAATACACTAATTTTAATATTACCCTTTTTCTCTCTATAATCAATTTTGATCCTTTTTATTTTAAATATATTAAATGATGGGTATTTTTAGAAGTTTTTATTTTTGTTTTGAAAAATAAGATTATTACACGTATTTAATAAGATTTATTGATATATAAAATTTTATTTAAAAATATTTTATAATTTAAAATGGAGGGAGCATTTTGTAATAGTGCACTTTAGCCCATCACTTTTCTAGTAGTAGTTATCAATTATTATACATATGAATACATATAGAACCAACGATATACGTGGGTCAAACCTATTTGAAGTTACTCGAATATGCCTAAACGTATAAAGAAGTCTTAATAGTTGTGATACACGACCTATTTTAGCATGAATTGTTAGTTTTTTTTGATATAAAAAAATAACCTACTAATCCAGCCCCTTATAAAAATCAAAATAATTATGACTTAGCTTTCAAGTCTTAACCTTCAAAAAGGTCGCGACATATTTCAAGTTCACTCATTTACTCCTGTTTCAATATGATAAGAACTAACAAGCATCATTTACACTAACATTCAATTAATGATTTAGTATGTGTTTGGATTAATAAATTTATAATTGAGGTTAGCAAATTAATGTTAGAAAAAAAGTCAGTGAATATAACGTAATTTATGTTTGGATATATTTTTTTCATAAGTCAGTTGGATAAATTAAATTTTGTTTAGATAATTTAATTTAAAAGTCAATTAAGATATATAAAAATTAAAATAGACATAAGTTTATATATATATATATATATATAGTGACTAAGTTAATACTTTCTCCGTTTAAAAATGTAAAGCATTTTTTGAAGGGTTAGATGTTAAAAAAATGTAAAGCATTTTTAATTTTTTGAAGTATAATCATTGCCTTTCTTTTAAAAGTACCCTTACTGATAATAAATTTATATTTATTATAAGGTGTTTGATAGGGATAAATATGAAAAGATAGAGTTAGTTTAAAAGTAGGTAACTATTTTATTGGAGGGTGAGATTCGATTAAAAATGGCTTATATTTTTAAACAGAGGGAGTTTTTTTTTTAAAATATTAACCTTAACATTATAATTTTTAAAAAATAGCTTAAAAATATAAAATAGAATGGTAAATAAAAAATATTAATTTTTGAAGAGGTAGAATGAAATAATAACTTTACAAAATATTCAAATAAAAAAAGTTATAAATTTATAAATTATAAAATATTCAGTCTAAAAGGATTAAATATTATAAATTATAAAATATTTTTTTGTAAATTAAAAAAATTAAAATGAATTGATAAATTATAATTTTATTAAAAAAATTATCCAACGATTAAAAAAAAAAAAAAAAGAACAAGAAGAACAGATTGAACATCCGCACTTCCCTGTTAGTATCTTCTACGCCCCATCTTTTGCATGTAACACTGTGAGTTAACTCAAATAAGCATCATTATTGTCGATGGTCAATAGCATTCCTTACACGTTGTCCTCAAATCATCCACATCAAGTTCTTGCTTTACATCTCTGATCGCAGGGATGATCGGAGAGCAATAGGGCCTCAACGGAAAGAGCAGAACAGTGACAGCCTTAACATCCTTGGATGGCGACAGCGAGCACAATTAAGGTCAATGATGGTGACGAGGAGGAGTAAAAAAAGAGCTTGTGAAGACTGAAGGCAGAGGAAGATGAAGAGCAACTAGCGATCAGCAGTGCAAGGAGAAAAGCAAAGATGGGAGTTGGATGGAAGATGGAAAGCACGTCGGCCTTTGATGGCCACACAGTTGAAGCAGACGATGCACTTTTTCCAGAGATTCTCTTCTTTCAAGATTGTTGCGTGGGTGAGAGGTATGAAGCGAGGAATACGATAGGCGAGTAAAAGCAAGAAGAAAGAAGGGATGACAGCTTGCAAATTCAAACACTATACGTGAGCAACATATAGTCGACGGAAGATCAGAAGGCTAGAACGATGGCGAACACAATTTCTGATCAGAGCTGACTCGTGAAGACTCATGAAGGCTAAGGCAGAACAAAGTCGGTCACTGATGAAGATTGCAAAGAGAAAAGACTAATAAAACATTAAAATACTCGTAACATTCGTCAACGCTCGATAAAAACTCCATCCAACAGTTTCATTGAAAATGCTTGTTTCTATTCCAACACTTGTTCACAATTTTTTTAATTCAAATAAAATTTTAATAGCTTTTACCATCTCAACTTAGGTTGGAGCCATCTCAACTTAAGTTAACAATGCTATCCAAATACATTTTTAATATGTTAAAAAAAAAGCATGTGTGGATATTTTAGTGGGCCTGAACCCAAATGAATCGGCCCAACTTTCTTTAGTTTCAGTCCTATCCAGGTTAGTCCCAAAAAAGTTTAATTTTAAATATGTTTGATTATTACAAACTTGACCCTAAAATTTGTTGAGAATTTATTCAAGTTAATCCATCCAATTTGGAACAAATCATTGTCTGTCATAGTGAATGCCTTTTTCAGTGGCGGACTGAATTACCATACATTTTTTTCATCTTAATTTTCAAGAAAAAAAGCATTCCCTGATATTTTTGTTACATTAAATTTCAAATAATATATGTAAAGAAAATGTGGCTTGATGAACCCTATTCAGGACGGTCGGATTTGTGTTAATCGGGCACATTGCACGACGCAGCGTTGCAAGTCAAATGGTTGGACCGTTCGTTTGAGTGACGCAGCTTCACCACCTTGTCCGTTGATTAAACCAACGGATATGATGAATCCCGAACAAAAACTTAGCCCTTTTTTTTAGACTAAAAATAAAGCCGGCCTTCAGTTAACAGTACATTTTCCTTCTCAAAATAAACAAATAAATAGTTGGATAATAGCAATTCGATATTTAAAGACGCAAACAGTGAGTCTCCAGTTTCCCACATCCCAGACTTCATTATATATAAAAATATATAAAAGAGTTGAATGGCAAGTTTACTTTCATAGGTTAAAGAACTTTTAGCACTCTCAACTCATAATTTTTCTTTTTTAATTTTTAAAAAGCGTGTAATGTAATAATATTAATAAAAGTTAACTTTAAATATTAATTTATAAAAAAATTATAAAATAAGATGTAAAAAATTATTAAAAATTTACAAAAAACACTTAAAATTATGGACAATGATCCAAAAAATTATAGAAAATTTTTCAATCCCCTTCTACTTTAGAGGTAATTTCTTTTAAGTTTTTTATTATCAAAATTAACATTTATTAATGGGAAAGGAAATATTGCAATGTTTTTAAAAATTAAAAGGAAACATTACACAGTTTAAAATCTTAAATGTTCATACATATAAAGTGAAAGGATCAACTTGTTATCTAATTCTATTTCAAAATACTTGCAACTTAAAACCATACAAAACTTGAAATAGAAATACAAATATCCTTGCACGGCAAAGTAAGGTTTTAGAATCAGCTTTTCAAAATGCACCATTGCATCAACTTTATATTTCCTCCATTTAAAATTATAAGATATTTTTTAAAGAGTTAAATGTTAAATAATGTAAGACATTTTTAGTATTTCAAAGTGTAATCATTGTATTTTTTTTTCAAAAGTGTCTCTATTAATAATGACTTTATATTTATTGTAGAATATTTAATAAAAGTAAATATAAAAAGATAGAGTTAGTTTGAAAGTAAATAACTACTTTATTGAAGATAAAATTTTACTAAAAAATGCCTTATATTTTTAAATGGAAGGAGTATAGTTTTTTTTTGGCAATGAAATTTTTTTGGTGATGACTAGTTTTGTATAGTTTATGATTAATAATTATATGTATAATACTCTCTAGTTTTATTTATAGAGTAGAGAGAGAAAAATTTTTTAGTTCTATTTATAAGTCATATAACTAAATTTTTATCACAATTTTTTTTTACTCACCATTAAATGTTGGGAAGAAAAAATATGTTATTAAAGTATGTATATTTAATAAGAGTAAAGTTAAAAACTTATTAAATTTTAAGATAAAATTAATAAATTTTAAATTTTTTTTATATTGATAAAATACATTAAAAGTAATTTATATATGGCATGTATGTATTTAGATCAGTATATAAACTTGCCCCTAGATCAGCCGCTCGAATACTAAATATCTTCGAAAATTTCAATCATTCCTCTGAACGTCTTTCCGTTGGCTTCAACTAAACATCAATCTTCATTATTCCGAAACTTGCGTTCTCTCCAAGCGACGACCCTTCTGCTCCTTCTTCTTCTCCCACCTCTAACCTTCACGAAACCAACAAAACAACCCAAACCAAAACCCTACTTTCAATCATTCCGTTTTAATTAGTCATGCATTAGTCTTCCCATTGTTCTCCGATCGACAAGTTCGATCTCTCTTATGCTTCTAATCAATGGAGCGAGAGATCGAACCTGTGATGGATCACGCCTATTCTTTGTTCGGAAAATATGAACTCGGAAAGCTTCTGGGTTGTGGTGCCTTCGCTAAGGTCTACCATGGCCGCAACCTTCAAACATCCCAGAGCGTCGCCATTAAAGTCTTCAACAAGAAGAAGATCACCGCCTCCGGCCTCACCTCCAACATCGTGCGTGAGATCACCATCACGAGCCAGCTTCGTCATGCCCATATCGTCAGGTTCCACGAAGTCCTCGCCACCAAGACCAAGATTTTCTTCGTCATTGAACTGGTTAAAGGTGGCGAGTTATTCTCCAAAATCGCCAAGGGACGATTTTCTGAGGATCTCAGCCGGAGATATTTCCAGCAGTTGATCTCCGCCGTTGGGTACTGCCACTGCCGGGGTGTCTTCCACCGCGACTTGAAGCCGGAGAATCTTCTCCTCGACGACAATGGCGGCCTCAAAGTTTCGGATTTCGGGTTGAGCGCTGGCAGGGATCAGATCCGACCTGATGGGTTGCTTCATACGCTCTGCGGCACCCCTGCCTACGTGGCGCCGGAGGTTCTATCCAAGAAAGGGTACGAAGGGGCGAAGGCGGACGTGTGGTCTTGCGGCGTCATTCTCTTCGCGTTGGCCGCCGGGTACTTACCCTTCAACGACCCGAATCTCATGGTGATGTACAGGAAGATTCAAAAGGGAGAATTCCAGTGTCCGAGATGGATTTCGCCGGAGCTAAGGAGGTTCCTTTCGCGGTTGCTTGACACGAATCCGAATACCCGAATCACCATCAGTGAGATCCATCAGGATCCGTGGTTCAAGAAAGGGTATAACGAGGTAAGGTTCCAGGAGGATGATTTCGGGTTCGGGTCGAAGAACAATGGAGAGACGACGTCGGACATAATCCAACTGAATGCGTTTGATATCATATCCTTCTCTTCAGGGTTGGACCTGTCCGGAATGTTCTACAACACGGCAGGGAGAAGCGAGAGGTTTGTGTTGGTGGAGTCGCCGGAGAAGATAATAGAAAAAGTGGAGAAGTTGGCGAAGGCGGAGGGGCTGGCTGTGAGGAGGAGGAAGGAGGAGTGCAAGGTAGTGGTGGAAGGAGTGAAGGGCAATTTGGGAATTTCGGTAGAAGTTTACCGGTTGACAGGTCAGCTGGTGGTGGTTGAGGCTACGAGATGCATAAACGGTGTCGTTTTCATGGAGCGGTTTTGGAACAACAGGTTAAAGCCCTTACTCCGCAATCCCACTGGAACCACTAGTACGACGTCGAATCAGGGATTTGACCAAAGGCCCGTCGAAGGCAAAAATCTCCTCCATGTTGATAGCAGAAAATACAAAAGCTTAATAATTAATTGATGTAGTTAATACATACACATAATCATATATACACTACATAATTATAGATGTGTGTGTGTGTGTGTGTGTGTATTGTTGTGACTTCGGAGATTCACTATGCTCAATCTAACCCCAGGCTAGCTTTCCTTTTTTAGTTTGTTTTCATGGAGGATTTTAACGACTTGTAATATTTTGTAGTTTGTGGAGATATATATTAATGTGAAGAAAATGAAACTGATTTCTCAGCACAAACCTTGTTTTTGTTGTTCATTTGGAAAATAACATTTAACAACCTTCTAAAATTATTAATTAAAGACCTTAAAATTATAAAAACAAAAGACCGTGATCCTTCTTAGTTGGGATTCAAATTTTCATGATCGAATTTTTTAGCATTCATTTTTCATATTTTCAACACTTCTGTTTCACATTTTTAATAGTTATCTTTAGTATTTTTTAATATCCTCTCTCTATTTTTTTTCCCCAGTAGTCATCCTAGATGTTTTCAGTATCCATTTTTTATGAACTTAGTACTTAACAGAATTGACAATAAGCATTTTTCAATATTGAAAACATAGAAGATGAGTACTCAAAATATCTAAAATGACTACTAACAAAATTGAGTAATTTTAATTCCAATCAAGGACTATAATCTTTTTTTAATTTAAAAATTTTAAGATCCTTAACTATAAATAATATTCTTAAAGGGCTTTTAAATAGGAAAAATGAAAATAAAATCACTTCAAATTATATAAATAAAAATTTAGTCCTTCGAAATACCATAATACCAATGAAGTCTTTAGGGATCTTTTTGTCAATAACTTTTTTTTTTTAAAAAAAAGATCATTTTACTCTTATTGACAAATAGTGACTCCTTGTTTAATTCTTACCATTTTTTGAAGAAAAGTTGTGATTCCTAAAACAAAAATTGTAAATAGAGTTTGTTATTTTAAAAATTTATTTTTCAGTGATAGAAATTGCACTTGTGATCATTTGTAATTTCTTGTTCAACTTTTGCAATTCACATAACAAAAGTTGTTACTCTTTAAACAAAAGTTGTGATTAAGGCTTAATTTTTAATAACAAAAATTACATTTGATAAGTTGTGATTTTTCGTTCAACTTTTGCAATTTACAGAACACAAGTTGTGATTCCTTAAACAAAAGTTGTGATTGAATTTTATTATTTTTAGTAAGGGTAAAATAATTTTTTTTTTCTAAAAAAGTTATTGACAAAAAGGTCCTTAAAGACTTAATTGGTATTATGGTATTTTGAGAGATTAACTTATCATTGTCATGGTTCGAAGGAATTTTGTTGTCATTTTCTCTTTTAAATATCATCTTCCCTTCATTTTAATAATTATATGAACTATTATATGTTAAAGGGTTAAAGGAAAAATTTATCTTAAAAATTTTTTACCAAGTGCAATGATAAGTATATCGGCACCTAAGAAAGGAAGTGAACGGAGTGTTTTCAAAAGCTTTTTTTTTTTTCCTAAATAAAACAGAAAAAAAGTTTTTATGGAAACAGTCAAATGATGAGGTTTTAAATCAAATAAAATTTAGAGAAGAGAATGTCTGGCACAAATATTTATAATGATTCAACTCAACCACTTAGCTTATATTTAATTTTCAAGATCATACTATAATTTCAATTAAAATGACTTGCTTAAATAGGTGCTTGACAATTACAATTACCATTCATAAGCCAAAGACATATGTTCAAGCTTCATAACCAACAATCAACCAACGAGTAGTAGTTCTTGAAATGCAATAAGGTGCATGGACTTGTCCTACCCAAGAGGTGACTTAATAAAAGGAACAAACTAGCAAGTGTTTGTGGAACAAAGACGGACTGAATTGGGATAATATATCATGCTGCAAACGTACCCGCCCAAGTGTTTCAAGATTTCACATAAGCGAATGATCACTAAGCTCAACCCAAAATGTGGAGCAAACATACCATCATCAACATATAAACAAATATACATATCATGGAAAAATTTCATTTAAGACCACTTGACTACACTTAATGAAAAAGAGAACGCTTTAAATTTTGAAACTTCACTTCAAACTAGGGGTAGTGAAGTGAAATTAAAATATTAAGGGCAATGAAAAAATTAACCTTCTTTCAAATTTAAAAAACTTCTTTAGATTCCCTTTTCCTCCACTCTCTTTGTCTTTCTAAGAACACTCTCACTTTGATTCATGCCTAGAAAAAGAAGTTGTAAAGAGATCGATCGCCATGGGACCTTCTTTCAATTTTGAACATTGAACAACCTTGTCTCCCTCCACCCTCCAATTCTTCTTCCTCATCTCAGTGGTGATTGTGTTGCTGCTCAGATCATCAAAGACTTTGCGCGAGCCATTGTTGAAGACTTCTTGCAACAGACCATTGAAGAGTTCTTGTGACTAATTCAAATCTTCAAGAAATATGGAGATTTTATGTTCTAAGATTTATAATTATGATGAATAATCCACATTAGTAATTAATTATTCAAGAAATGTGTAAATTTTGCCATTATTATTATTGTCATTATACCATTCTATTTCCGCCACTGTATTGCATTTTGCCTAGGAACTAAAGTTTTAAGAAAATCTTGGAGGGTTTAGAGAGAAATCTCCTTGATGACCTGTTGTAATTATGAAGAACTTCAAGTATGGAAATGAAAAACTTCAATATACAGGGGCAATGAACAACTTGTTTACCATAATTACAATACTTTGAATAAAATTAAGAGTCACCAATGACACAATAACTCTTGTAGGGTAATAAACAACTTTATATGGGGAAACAAACAACTTCAACATGGTTAATGAACAATTCATTTTACCAAATTTACAACACTTGGAATAAAATTAAGATTTAGTAATGGCATAAACAACTCCTGTAGGGCAATGAACAACTTCAATATAGGCAATGAATAACTCATTTTACCATCTGTCGCACCCGAAAAAATGTGATGAGGACGGCGCTCGAGCGGAGGTCCTGGCCTTCGCGACGGGAACCACACGGAATGAGGAGTCGCCACCAAGATTTTGAGGTAAATTTCGAGAAACCGATTAAAGGGAGGATAAGGGTGATCTGCAAAATTAGAGAATAGGTTCGGGAGTAGGTTGAATGTGGGGAAGGTGTTAGGCATCTTGCAACACCCATTCATCAGAATGGTTACTTGAATTTTGTTGTGCTCTATTAATATGGTTTTATAATTATTTTAATTATCCTTTTTATATTTATGTGTTTGATAAAAATGATAAGAATTAAGTGAGAAATATTCATTTATTTACGAGGGAAGACGGATTTGACTCAGAATCTGACTCTGAAGCCTACGTACCCTGTGATATGGATTAAAATCCACGTAGTTCGGATTTAAAAGTTTGTTAGCAAAAATATTTTTTTGACGAGAAATTAATTAGAAATAATTCACTATTTTGCAAGTAAAATAATTTTTGAAATTTTGATATGTATGTTTTAAATTGCAAAAAGTAATTTAATTTTAATTATTTTCTCAATTTTTGAATATTTTGGAATAAAGAAAGATAAGGGTTTAAAATTATTTTTATTTATGTTTTATGATTGAGAATTTTAACTGCTATACCTGCAGAGACTTATTAATTCATACGGTAATGCAGTTGTTTTAAATATCTGTGGAGATTCAGAAATCTCACATGTTAAAAAAATTTAGCAATTTAATTTATTTATATTTTTAAGTGTTAGTAATTTTTGTTTGTGTGAATATATATGTTTTAAAGAAACTTAATCATCATACCTGCAAAGCCTTATTCACTTATACGGTAATATGATTATCTTAAATATCTGTAAAGATTCCAAAATCTTACACAATAAAGGAATTTAATTTATTTAATTGATTTAATTTAATTATTTATGATATATATATATATATATATTTTAGAAACTTTATCGTTATATCTGCAAAGTCTTATTGACTCATACAATAATATGATGGTCTTAAAAGCCTACGAAGATTTAAAAATCTCACATAACTAAAAGATATAATCGGTAAATATGGTTACAATTTAAATACATTAATCTGGTTAATTAAGTTTTTTGAATTATATATTATATGATTATTTACAAAAATCACTTATCTACAATAGAGATTGAGAATCACTACATCTTGAGGATTTATTATCCCCACGATGATGTGATTAATTTAAGTCTCTACAAAGATTCTTGAAATTTCACATGAGACTTAAATAAATTATTAATTTAGATTATAAAAGGAGAGTTAATTTCAATATATAAGTTTTGCTCTCATATCTGCGAAATCCTATTGATTTACACGACACGAGATTATCTTGAATATCTGCAAAGATTCAAAGTCTCACATGATAAAATGATTAAATAATATTCACTTTAAATATATTATAATACGTAATTATACGACACATATTTTTGAATATAAAAATCTTAATCATTATATCTGCGAAGCCTTATTGACTCACACGGTAGCACGATTATCTTAAAGGTCTACAGAGTTTCAAAAATCTACACGACCAAAAGATATAATTGGTAAATATAATTATAATTTAAATTCATTAATTTAATTAACTAAAATTATAAAAATATTTTATTTTATTTACAAAATTTATTTATTTATTTATCGTATAAATTGTGAATCACGATATCTATGAGAATTTATTATCCTACATGATAATGTGATTAATTTAATTCTCTACGAAGATTCTTAAAATCTCATGTGAGACTTAAATATTTATTATATAAAAAAATTTAATAATGGGCTTTCGAAACTCATATAAATGCTTACAAAATTGATCCTCGTACCCACAAAATCTTATTGATTTCCACGATAGAAGATCATTTTGTGGGGATTTAAATTTTTTTATTATGATAAATTTTTTTCTTATGATATGGGTTGTTCAAAAACACATTCATTATATAATCAAGATTTTTAGCTTAACAGAATCTAATTTGTAAAAGTATGTTTAAGTTTTAATTATAGGCGATCAAAATCAAATCTGTAGTGATATATCTATCACCTTCAACTACTGTGCCTTATAACAAGCTATGTATACATTGAGATTAGGAAATGATATAATATAAGGTTGCATGAAGTTATAAAAAACCTGTATTAGAACCTGTGCAGAATGAAGTTGATGGATCTTTCTGCAGGTCCTTAAGCTCTTTCAAGATGTGCTTTGAAGCCATATCACTTCCTCCAACTGATGGACCGAATCAGAACCTGTGCATTACTGGA